AAATTAAGCCTTCTGGAGTTTGTTCTTTTTGGGTTGCAGTAATTAGCTAGATAATGTTCTTTTAGCCAACAAGTCCGCTTTTGCTTTGGTACCAGAATTTAGGGTTTTAGGCTTGAAATCTAAGGCTACTTGAACTTAAATGTGTTCAAGAGTGTGATGTGGGGTGTGGACTATACTCTCAGAAGAAAAGATTCTTGTCAGTGGGACCGAAGACTTAGATATTTCAGCTCCTTTTTGAGACCTTACCACTTAATCTCATTCATCTGCTCATTCCATGGAAAAGTAACAGAGTTGTATGGGATCATCTGTGAGGGTCTTAAAATTCCAACCAGTGGAAATGCTAAATCATTTACATTCATCTCAGGCAGTGGTCAATAATATCCAGAAACTGCCTGAAATACCTGCTTTATCTAATTCATCCTACATCCAACATTGTGGGGAATGTCACAGAATACTAAGGAAGGAAATTACCCAAGCAAACATACCAAGCTAGTGGTGAGTGCAGCCTCCCAGCTCGAGTCCTGGAGAGGCGTCCTGGTGCTGCACTCTGATCCAGTTCCTGGGGATGCTTTCAGTACAACTCTACACTCTTTCATCTTCTCCAAAAAAAGGGAAAAAAAAGAGTATGAAATGTTCCTCAGAGTTAATACCCAATGGCTCCAAGTCACATGAAACCTAGGGCCTATTTAAAGAGGTGGGTGCTCCATCAAACTCAGAGTTATCAATCTCCAAGTCACCCATGGAATGTCTCAGATACACAAGAATTCCAAACTCTAGAGACAAATTCTCAAGCCATACCTTACCATTATGTCTAAGAATCATAGCCTTCATGCCTGCATGTAGTCCTTATTCTATCCTCGATGGATGAGGGCACGGAGACCCACTGGTCAATATCAACAGCAGATAACAGAGATACCAGCTAACCACCAGTTTCTGTGAAGCCGATTCTAACCCATATTGTACGCTTCATAGTGTTTTCAGTGGCTCAGGTTTTAGCAGCGGATCACCAGGCCTTTCTTCCAAGGTGACTCTGATGGACTTAGACTGCCAACCTTTCAGTTAGCAGCCAAGTGCTAGAACAGATCTGGAATTTGAAAACTCAGATATGATGGAGCTCTAAATTACCAGGATGTCTCTCCTTTTGATCTCAAGAAACAAAGAACATAAAGTTGAGGTCAAAAAAACTAGTTAGCTATGAGAAATACCCAAAATGCAGCTTATTTTGCACTTCTACTGAAATCACTGGGTTAGCAATGAAAGCATTTTGCTACCAACCAGAAGGTCAATGGTTTGAAACCTCCAGCTGCTCCATAGCAGAAAGACGTGACACAGTTTGCTGCCACAAGCTTTGCTGCCATAGACGCCCTGCAGGCTGGCTCTACTCTGTTCTATAGACGTGCTAGGTGTTGGAATTGACTAGATAGAAGTGGACTGGGTTGGATTTGCTACAGAAATGAACAGACACAAACTCTACTTTATGCAATCTGAATAAAGCCCCCATCGAATGCAACCTGTAACATACATTAACGTATGGCATGTGAGTGTGCTCAAATATACAAATTAAATAATACCACTGTGTTTACTATATACCAACACGGTTGTTGTTGTTGTTGTTATGTGCCGTCGAGTCGTTTGAGACTCATAGCGACCCTATGTACAACAGCCCTAAACCCTGCCTCTATCCTGTACCAACACGGTAGCACTTAGTAAATAAACCCAAACCTGTTGCCATCATCTCAGTTCTGACTCATGGAAACTCCAGGTGTTACAGAACAGAATTTTTGCTACACAGGATTCTCTTGGCTGTGACGTTAGAAAGAGGTTGCCAGGCTTTTCTTCTGCAGCACCACTGGACGGCCATAGTGACAGCCTAAAGATTAGGAGTACATAACTAAATCTGAGCTTCAGTACCTTCAGATTTCTGTAACACACCCAACTACTGAACAAAAACAGGAAGAATGGTCAAGAACTCCCTTTTGATAATTTTCAAATCAAAATAAGTGTTCACATTATTACAAATAAAGCATATTTCTTTCCAGGCTTAGAGGCCATGCTCTTAGGCCAAATGTCCGCCAGGAATTCTTTTCTGGGGAGTAAAAGTGCTGACAGGATGATTACGGTTTCAACTAACTACATCACCAGGGCAGATGAGGAGACTTTAACATCCATGATCCAACCATCTATGGTCCAGTCATGCTGCAGAGGCCCCGCAGGTCAAGAACTCTTACCAAAAAGAAAAGAATTCTTTTCAAGGAAGCTTCTCCACCCACTGCCTCTTAAAATACACTATTTGGGACATAATGGGCTCTGGAGAAACACACTGGATGCACACGCCAAGCCCAAGACGATGAAGTGTGGGTGGACAGGCGTTGTTGTGCACAGTTCTGGAGCTTGTTTCAAGTCACTCGAGATCGACTCTCAATATATAAAGTCCATGTGGAATGGACTCTGCAAACGGCTTTTATACATATGATCCCATTTGGTGCTCCTAACAGCCTGGGCTGTGGCTGGCATCATTCCCAGGGACAGCAAGATTGAGTGACTGGTCCAAGGTCACCCCATTTGAGCAGCCAAGTTATGATGCAAACGCATTTCTTGCGAATGTTAGTCCACCACACTCTGCATTCACATTAAGCTGCTGAAGAAGTGCCTTTATGAGACACCACATTTAGATGATCTCACCTCCATACATTAACAATGTTAGGAAGGCAACTAGCCAAAGAATGGAAATTTGATGCAACAACTACCGTGCGAGTTTTCAGTGGCAGGATCTATGAATCCAAGAAGCACTAGGCCACTCTCCCAGTCATTGTCCTGGGTTCAAGGGCTCTCTCCCTCACCAGTGGGGAACGGCTGGATACAGAGGTAGAAAAGCTGATTATAGCCACCAGATCATCCCCAGAAAATGTGCTAACTTTCTATTCCAGGTAGACGTGAAATTCACAGGTGATATGTCTGGTTGACAATCAAGCACGCTAATGCATCTTTTACCACCATTCATAGGCCAGTCGACCATCTCTTTGCTTCAAGCCTACAAAGCCAGTCTGACTTCCCTCAAGACAGAGACAGCAGTAATTTTCAAGAGACCATGCCATAGGCTGTATCCCAGCTGTCAAAGTGTCAGCACTTTGCCAGCAGGGTGGGTGGGAGAGTTCCTCTCAGGTAGAAAGATAGGCTCATGGGGTCATTCTGTCAGAAAATCTCACTTCAAATCAGAAATGGGCATCAAAATTCATCAGAATCAGTCGAGTAGTGCCTCAAAATTCAACCTTCACATTCACTTCCACCAACACGCAGAACTAACCTTTGATCATCTTTATTTCTATGACATAAGGCAAATGTATCCTGGGTCTTTGCCTAATGCGCTCGCGCACTCTCTCTCTCTCTCTCACACACACACACACAGGGTTAAAACAATTCCCAAATTCTCTTTCCCAAACCAAAAAGCCTAATCCACTGCCCTCAAGTCAATTCTAACTCATGGCAACCTTCCATCAGACTTCTGAGCTTGGACATTTTTGCAACATTATTCTCCTGTGGAGCAGCTGGTGGATTCACTGCCCTTTCGGTAAACAGTCTGATCAATCACGTACTATGCCATCAGGGCGCCTTAAACTCTCCTTAATGATTTCTTTCTTTTGTAACAGATAGCATGCTTCACCTAAGTTATTCTGTTCCTTTCTCTTAAAAAAACCTATTACTTCTACTTCACAGATTAAGAAATTAAGGCTTGAAGAAACTAACTTGCCCTAACTTTATGATAACAAGAATACAGCCAGGATTTAACTCCTAACTGCCCAGCTCTAGCATCACCAGCCAAAGCTGCCTTTGATCAGGCAGACTGTGATGCCACTTCTCTTTACTCCCCCAGCACTCCTCATAAACCTCCATAAGACTGTTACATTTAGCCCCTCTTCATCTGGTGTGCAAAGAAGCAAAGTCAGAGGGGGCAACACCGCCCTCTAATGGCGAGGTCCGAGTGCACCTGGTCACAGGGTACCAGGCATGCCTTTCAGGGCAAATGGGCCCAAATCGGGGTTTCTAATTGGAAGCACCATCATCACACAAACTACCTCCCCACCTTCAGCACAAGTCAACACTTCCTTATTACAAGCAACGGTGAAACCCGAAAATAAATGAAACATGCAGAACTGATTGACAGCTTATTACCTATTCATTCTAATTAACTATCAATTAAGTTAACAAGACCTTCTTTCACTGGTGAAATACTTCACTAAAAGAAATCTCTTTTTAAAACTGGCACAGCCACTCTCTCAGGCACTAGACCCCCAAAGAGGGGGCTTGGCCCCATTTTTTAGAGGAGCAGCTAGAAGTCAGGGTTTGCACAAGGTCGGACAATTCGTTGGCTCCAGAGGAGGCCCTGGAAGCCACCCAAGGTTATTCCTTCCACTACACTTCCCTCTTGAGACGCGGTTGGCCGGCCACGCAAGGAACAGGAAATTGAAATGGCTCCTGGTAAGGTAGAAAAGCTGCCAACCTCCACCAGAATCGGACAAATGACCCACACCTGCCCTGAATTAAAAACACCCCCTCAAAGGAGCTTCAGACAAACCTCTTCCCACCTGCTGCACCAAAGGGATAAACACACAAGAGCCCGCCTGCCTGTTTGCCCGCTGTAAGGACCTCAGATTACAGTAAGCTCCGAGTGAGTGAGATGCTATTCAAGAACGGAGTTGTTAAGAACAGGCAGTTTTCCAATCTGAACTTATCAGCTTGATTTCCACTCCTAGCACCCCCCACCCGTTCCTAATCCCCACCCCTTAACCACAGCATTATAAGACGGGGGGAAATCAGGAGAGAGACAAATCTTCGAGAAGCAGCGCCCGCTGCAGCCGCCAGCCACCACAAGTTAAAGACAGATCAAGGCGGGCGGGGGGAGGGGGGGTCTTCCATGAGCAAAGGCATGCACTGAGAAAGCCATGCACAGAGAAAGCCATGCACCATCTCCAAAATACTGAAACCGAGCATAGTCACTTTACCTGAGTTGTTTTTGCTCTTCTGCCTTGCATGCTGTTGCTATGGCTAATTTGTGGGTTGGTGGCACCTTCGGAAAGACAGTGCGATTTCCTACAGGGGAGTGTGTTGTAATTACTGTACGGAGCCGTCTCCTCGGCAGCTGCTGGTGGCATCTTATGGTTTGCAAGATCAGGGATATCAGATACCAAATTCCGACAGCAGCCTGTAAGTTTGCTCCTTGGTCCCCCGTTCGCTGTCACCCCGGAGTTTTTCTGCGCGTACAAGTCACCCAGGGAGTTGGCACGCTGACAGGTGCTGAGCCGCCGCGGGCTCCCCCGAGCCTCCATCCCCCGAGCCTCCTCGCACTCCTTCTCTTCAGCGGAACCCAAGATTTCTTCGTTGCTTGTTAAATGTTCTTGGCTCAGATCAGAGAGTGAGAATTCCAGGCTGTCCTCCCGCCAGATGTCTGCAGATTTGGAGCGCTTCTTCTTAAAGCTCGCGGTCTCCATGAACGTGGGCCCGTTGGAGGTATAGGGATGCTGCCGCCTGCCACCCTCAGCCAAGTATGTCGCGTCATCCCCATAGAGCCGGCTCTCCTCAGAGTCTGGCATGCTCTGCACAGACGCAGCGGTGAGCACGATGCTGCTGTCAACGCTGGGGGTGACAGAGGAATCGGTGTAGGAGACCGGCCTCAAGCCCATATCCACACGGTCCACCCAAATGGGGCTGCCGAAGTCCTCCAGGGTGCCCTCCTGGGCAAAGGGCTCCAGGCCATTCTCAGCCAGGGACTGGGGGATACTGGGGGTGCTGCTGGAGCGCGTGCTGACCTCGGAGTTGCGGTGGATCACCTTCCCGGAGGAGGCGTGCCGCGCGCGCCGCGTCTTGTGCGAGAGGCGCAGTGAGCGCGACGTGTGCTTGCGCCCAAGGCTGGCGTGCTTTTCTCCATAAAACTCATGCTCCACATTTTGACTTTCGGCGTTTCCCATGGTTTTATGGTCTGTCACAAAGAAAAAGAGAGGAAGGGGGAAGAGGTAATTAATTGAGTCAGCAATAGGGACAGACAGTACCTGAGCTCAGAATGGAGAGAGGGCAAAGCGCCTCCCTTGCGGGGTCAGCGAGGTGCCATCGCACCAACCCCTGTGCACCTGGCAGGTACGCGGGCGGCTGCTCTGCACCAGGTGGGAACCATCTGCTAAGACAGCTACTGAGATTTGAAATAACACAAAAAAGGGTCATTAGAGAATTAGACTCTCCCAGAGAGGAGATGCCCACGGGGCGCACGGAAGAATGGTACTTTTTCTGGAACTAGAAAACCGGAAGTGCTCTGCTTCCTTCTGAAACACTATAATTATAGATTTAAAGTTCTATTCCTAGCCCCAAATAGAAAACTCTAAACGTACAAAGCAAGGTGTCAGCCAAGGAGTTATGCTTTGTTTGAAATAGATGTACAGTGTTGTCACCTGTGCTTGGATTGGCCCTTGGCTCACAGCAACAGCAGGAGCGCTAAGGAGGCCACGTTATGATGAAGTCTTGGAAACTCAGTGGATAGTCGCTATGAGCTGGCAGCAGTGAGAGAGTATGAGTATGAATCTTCTATCTTGATCTACAAGGAATTCATTGGCTGATTTTTAGAAACAAGTTGCCAGGCTTTTCTTCCTAGTCTGTTCTGGTCAGGAAGCTCTACTACAACCCAGAGGTATCTTGGAAGAAAGGCCTGGTAACAAGCTTTTGAAAGGTCAAAGTCACTAAAATCCCACAGAATGGAACTCATCCTGTTCTTCACCACAAGGTGTCATCGTGAGTTAGAATCGATTAGGCAGTAACTGGTGTTTGTGCTGTTTTTTTTTCACACTGATCTAGGAATCCTTCTACAATCTCACTCTTCAGACAAGAACACGGCTTAAAATGTCACGAGGGTGTCGTTGCTGAAACAAAATGTGTGCCAATAAAAGGGGAAAGAGCCCCATTTAAATTTCCATTGAGTTCAGAGGTAACTCAGAGACACCAGATGTGAAGTTACTCTATCCTGGAACATTCCCTACCAGGTCACACATCACAAGATTCTCAGCAGGAATTTTCCAAGAAAAAGAGGCTGTTTTATTTTAATAGTAGAAAATATATTTCAAAGTAATATGTTCACACTTCTCTAGTGTCTCTAAGAAACAAGATAAAAGCTACTATATTAATTAATTGATTTTTAAAAATCCCAAACAGTTGCCCTAGAGTCAATTCTGAATTATGGTGAACCCACATAGATCAGAGTAGAACCGTGTTCCACAAGGGAGGATGGGTGTGTGTGTGTGCAGGATTGGGGAACACGCTGCCAGGCCTTTCTTCTGCTGTATCTTTGGGTAGATTCAAACCACCTTTCACTTAGCAGCAAGCACCTCAATCTATCCTATATCTGTACCACCTACCTATCTCCTACCTCTATCTGTACCACCCTAACTCTCAGTGTAAGAAAAATGAACAGTCACCTTCCACGTGTGACCATATGTTGTTGTTGTTCAGTGCCGTCAAGTCACAGGCGACTCATAGCAACCCTATGAAGGAGAGTCCTCGACACTTGGGTGCCTTTCATCCTCTCTCCAGGTTCATAGGGTTTCTGGAGGCAAGCTATTATGGAAGTGGATGCCACTCCTCCTTCTAAGTGACCATATTTGTTGTTGTTGTTACATGCCGTCGAGTCCCTTGCGACTCATAGCGTCCCTGTGTACAACAGCCCTAAACTCTGCTGTGTCCTGTGCCAATCTCATTGCCTCCAACACACTCATCCCGATTGTCCCATTCAGCAAATCAATCCACCTCCCAGAGGGTCTTCCCCTCCTGCGCCTGCCCTCCACCTTCCCAAGCATGATGTCCCTCTCCAAGGACCGGTCTCTCCTTACAACATGACCAAAGTATGTCAGACAAAGCTTCAGAATCCTTGCCTCCAAAAAAAAGTGACCATATAGGTTATATATATATTCCTAAAAATCATGTGCTACATTTTTAAAAAGGCAATTGTGATAAAACATGTATAATATAAAGATTTCCATTTTAAGTGTACAATTCAGTGGCATTCACAACATTAAATATGTTGTACAATCATCATTACCATCTATTTTCAAAAGTTTTCTAGGACCTCAAATAGAAAAATTCAGTCTCTTAAACAGTAATATTACATCTTTTTTTTAAAAAAAAAATAAACAACTTTATAACAGTAACAGAAGTATTTCAATAACACTGACAGCAATAACAAATATACCTTAAATTCTTCATGTTTTAAGCGTAAATTAATATACCTACAAGTCTGTATGCATCACAACAAACTGTGGTTGACTGAGAAGAATGGGAATCCCAGAACATTTGATTGTGCTTGTGAGAAACCTATACTTGAACCAAGAGGCAATCATCAACACAGAGCAAGGAGACACTGCATGGTTCAAATTTGAGAAGGGTGTCCACCAGGGATGTATTCTGTCTCTGTACCTTTTAAATCTGTATGCAGAACAGATGACGTGGGATGTTGGGCTGTATAAGGAGAAATGTGGCATCAAGATTAGAGGAAGATTCATCAACAACCTGCATTATGCAGATGACAGCTTGCAGAAACGGAATAAGACCTGAAGTGCTTGCCACAGAAGGTCCAAGACTGCAGCCTTCAATATGATTGAAGCTCAACATCAAGAAAACAAAGATTCTCACCACTGAGCTGATTGGCGGCATCATTATGGATGGTGAAGAGATTGAGACTGTTAACAATTTTAGTTTGCTTGGTTCGACAATCAACACTTTTGGTACCAGCAGCCAGGTAACCAAGAGATGAATTACATTGGGAAAGTTAGCTGTCGGGGACCTCTCCAGAGTACTGAAGAGCAACAGTGTCAGGCTGGAGACTAAGGTGTGTTTAATCTGGGCCATAGTCTTCACAGTTGCATGCTATGCATCAGAGAGTTGGACAGTGACTAGGGATGTTAGAAAGAGAATTGATGCCTTTGAGCTGTGGTGCTGGAGAAGAGTGTTGCACATACCATGGACTGCTAAGAGAAAAACAGTTTCGTCCTGGAGAAAGTGAAGCCAGGTTGCTCCTTGGAGGCAAGGATTCTGAAGCTTCGTCTGACATACTTTAGCCATGTTGAAGGAGAGACCAGTCCTTGGAGAAGGACATCATGTTTGGGAGAGTGGAGGGACAGCACAAGAGAGGAAGACCCTCGATGAGATGGATCAATTCAGTGATAGGAGTAGTGGGAGTAGGTGTATTGCAGACAGTGAGGTTGGCACAGGGTAAAGCAGGGCAACCTGACTGCACATAACAACACCAACACATATCTATGGAGTTCCTGGATGGTATAAACTTAAAACACTTTTCTACTAATGGACCAGTTGGGAGTTGGAATCCACTCAAAAGTACCTCAGAAGAAAGTCCTGGCAAACCACATCTGCAAAATGAAGGACACTGAAAATCCCATGACTCTCAGGATTCTGAGCTCTGCAGCACGTAGGTTCACGACAAATTAGGACCACCTCTGCTGTGACTGGCGGAGGAAAGAGGTGTTTGTGTGCCCACATGGTTTGTCAATAAATAACAAAGGGCTTAGAATAATTCTTAGCCACAGTCTCATTTTTAAGACCCATGGAAGTTTAAATTTAAAAGGTTAAAGAATTATGGTGGAATAAATCAGGCGTAAGAAAAGGCAAGCCTGTCACCTCGAGTACACGCGAATTAACCCTCTATCAAATATCAAAAGTTTCCAAATAAGAACTGACAGACATATTTTCAGCAACACATTTCTGGTTAGGCTTGTTGTTTCTGCCAACAGAAAACTCATCAAGTTAAAAGCCTCAGGAGAGCTTTCCTAAAGGAAATGGCCCCAACCTTCAAGAATTACAGCACTCCATGCATCACGCTGACGGGTGGCTATATTAATAGCACTTTTAGTAGCGAGGTTCTGCTCAGCCAGCCAAGGTAGGAGAGAAGCTACTTTTATCTTCAGAAGGAGAATTTTGTGCTGCCTGCCAAATCTCCTAAATTCCACCAAGCGGAATCTCTGGGGATGTCCAAAGCAGAGCCAGCAGGAAGTTGGAGGCAACTAAAGTTAAGAGAAATAGGTTTCTGGGGACTGTTGAGATGTCATTAATATGAGTTTTTCCAGAAAGGGCTGGTGAGAGCAGTGAAGGCCCATGTGGGGTCAGTGGGGGACTCAGCAATGAAATCAGCATGGGAATCTGCTCACTGAAGACAATAGGCAACATCTTTTCAAGAGCAAAACCTGAAACAAGCATCCCTAAAAACTTGTTGCAATGAAATTTTTAACTCATTTCATGTGCAACTTTGAAAGACCAATGAGTTGTTGAGCACTACTGACTTGGTTACAAGTCATAGAGACCCTGTGTTCAACAAGACAGAACCATGGCCGACCCTGCACCATCCTCACAATTTCTTCTGGGTTTAAGCTCATTGTTGTAGCCACTGTGCCCATCTATCGCACCAAGAATTTTCCTTTCTGACCTGCTTTTCCAAGCATGATGCTCTTTAGGGACTATCATTTACTTTTAAAGAAAAGGAAAAAAAAACCCCAACGAAAAACCCACACACATCTTGTCTTTCCTGTAAACTTGGAAGCAACAGTAATACAGGGCAGAGAGTAGCTTTCCCTTGTTTTGAAGCCTTTACCAGTCTGTAGGGTCTGTGCTGCTGCACCAAAGGCCAAGTCTCTTTGCCAGTTTGAGTCCACTAGTGACTTCTTGAGGAAAAAGATGGGCAACATCCTCCTACAATATTCACAGCCTCAGAAATCAAATGTAAGGTCAGCTATGAGTTGGTTCTGACTGCACAGCAATGCATTTTGTCAGAAATGAGGCAATTCTGTGCATAATACTGTGTCAGTATATATGTGTGGATTGTCATAGCAAAAGCAGAAAGTGAGTAACTTTAACTTTACCAAAATAATCTTCATGCAGCCACTACATAGGAAGGAAAATATTAAAAGGATGGGAACACGCTGAGAAGCAGAC